GCATACATTTCTTCACGTTTTTCCCCTTCAGTGATCGTCACCCTGTACAGTATCCTGGAGCCACTCGACGGAGAGGGTTAATCCTACACTTGAACAGGCCAAGATTGTCGTGATAGCGAAAACATCTTCTTCGGTGTCGGTTCCACAGAGCAGCTATTCGTTTTAAAATAACGAATCTCCAATGAAAACGCAGACCCGTATTTTTTGGTTTCACTTTCGTGTAAATCAGAAATCAAAGCAGCAAACAAAAACAAGCAGATGGAAATCATTTTGAGTATCTTCGCTGTTTCCCTAGGCGTATAAATAGTTATACCATTGAGATAGTTCGGATTATAACAGACGCCTCTATGTATCCACTCGTAATGTGTGTAAGCATGTCCTCGGCGAGGCAATGTTATTATTCGTTGATGTGTTGAATAAGAGTAAATCTTCAGTACCTCTTCTCTTCAAGCAGATTGTGGTATTGTCATCGACTGCTGCTAAAATAGAATTTTTCCCTTTTAATTCTTTTCCAGTTCCACGCTTGACTCTTTAGAAGTTTCTTTGCCCGATATTTATGCATATAACTCCGTACATGATTTCTCTTCTCATTTCCAAACTAGATTCGTAATTATCCTAATGAAATGCGCTCCTAAACTAGTCCCTATAATCTCTAAACTACAACAAATACCTTGCTGCTTTATGTTTTCCATCTTGATGGAAATGCCTCTGTCTTTAAAAACTCTTGCGAACCATTTGATCCCTTGAATTGCCACTCTATTAGTCTTTTACCAGTTTTTCGCAAACTACCAGAGGCTCTGTCTGTATTTCTGAGATTAAACTCACATTGGTTGGGTTCTCACTGGATCTAACCAACGCCTTTATCCACCTTGCCATGTGTCCTTGAGGACATCCGTGTATGAATTTCTGGCTATTATAAAACTAATGTCTTCAGCAACCATTTTTTATCAGTGCTCATATAGCAATTTTTGCTATTATCATTTCATGTTTTTACCAGAGTTTATATTGCAAATTTTGTTGTTATTATCGCTTTTCTCTGGCACTCCTTATTACTGGTTCCCATATTGTATTCATTTCTATGCTTGGTCGACTCAGGAGATTTTTGTGGCTTACCATATGTGCTGATTACTTAAGTTTATGAATTTTCCAATGGTGTTCGTTTTCTATGATCTCAACCTGATCCCACAGAGGGCGGTGATCTCCCCTTTCTCTCCATATGTGATCAGCTACGCCTGATTTTTCCAGGACGCAAACAGTGTGAGTTCAATACCCGGTTAAGGAAGTGGAGAACTTGGAGAGGTGAATTAACAGGAGATGACTGAAAAATGACATCCATTAAAAACATTGCACGTGGAACTAGAACAGTCTACCCCAGTGAACGAAATAAAGGGTTCAGTTCGACATTCCAACCACCTGAAGAAGGCCGGAGCAAACAACGGCGGAAACGTTGTAATAAATATGGGGACAGATGAGGACAATAGTCCGAATAATGTAAATAGCGTACCAGAGGCTCTAATCATCTTCAAATTGATTATGTATCTCAATTCACACGTCTTTCTTTCGGACAAACAATATGGCTTTCGTTTTTCTAGATCTACCGTTGATGTGTTAACGGTAATTACTGGATTTGTCTATCGATCTTTAGATGAGGACGGTGTGGCTCGAGCTGGCCTTCTCCACAAGATCGCAGGATAATGTGTCTTTGGACGAAAGTTTGGCTTTAATCTTTCTTAACAGATCATGAGATGAAAGTCATGTTGAAGAGTTCATTTCACATTAATGCGGGGGTCTCTCAGAGCTCTATCCTTGGACCTAAGACTCTCAGCTTTATCAAAGACATTTCTGTTGTCATCAGTTCCCAACTACGTCTTTATAAACTTGACACATCTAGTTACTATTTATATAGAGGACAGAACTATTTAATACTAGCAGCAAGGCCCGGCGTTGCCCGTGCTTGATTCAAAAATCGTGCGACACATACAGCAATCGCTATCACTTGACTTAAAATATTTTTGCCTTTCCTTGCCTTTAAAGGGGTGCCCTTTGCCGTGCTGGTGTTGCTACATGCCTTACTTCTTGTCTATATCACACTGCGAATTTTTTCTAAGCTCTATACTAAACATTAAATCTGTTACGAAAAAAGAACTAAACAAAATGAACACAAAACGATCAGCTTTAAAAAAGGACTCGTAACTAGAAAAACCGAATGAAAAAAGAATGTTAACAACAAATACTTTTTCACACCTAACCCAGTTCTGCAGGATTCAGAATCAACGTTGAGTTTAATCAAGCGAATGAGGCAATTGGAGTAAAGTGCCATGCAGATTTAAATTCTTCCCACTTGTGACGAATGCAGCTATCGATTTTTTTGCATGCTAGTACAACTCGATATTCTTAAAAATATTCGGGTTTGTAATGTTATGGTCCTGAACTGGCCTCTTGATTTAGTCACTTTCTCACCAGCATGACGTGACCTCCCTAGGTTTATCCTATAAATATTTATATATATATAATTTATTATATTTATAAATACTCTTTCTACTGTACAACACGAGATTCTTAAAAAAATATCCGGTTTTGTAATGTTATTGTTCCTGAACTGGCATCCCGATTTAGTCTCTTTCTCACCATCATGACGTGGCCTCCTTAGGTTTATACTATAAATATTTTATAGCAACTGTTCTAATGAGGTTTCCTGCTTAGTTTCCATAAATTTAAGCGTACAACTAGATTGGCAGTTAGGTCTCATCTTTCTACTACATAAGTAACTAAATGTAACCGTAAGTTCTATTCTAATAGTTTCGTTTCTCGCACTTCTCGTCTGTATAATTCTCTTCCGATTACTTCCCTGGCGCTTACAATCTTCTAAAATTTAAAAACCAACGTCAATTGCCACCTTCTGTTTTCCTGAATCGTTATTTTTTCGCACTTTCTTTTCACTAAAATCTTCTCATTTGTTTTTCCTTGTCAATGACCCCAGACGTCTTAGTGGCACTATCGCCTTGCTTGGGGTGAAATGGTATAAAAACAACAATTGTTATTTTCAAGTAAAGTACTGATTTGATAGCTATCAGCTACAATTAGTATACCCGATCTTGTAGCATCGTACAGTGAAATCTCTAGCCACAAAACATTTTTCACTTTAAGCAGTTTATACATTGATAATATTTTGGACAATTATGTTCATATCACAGCTGTTGTGAACATAAATTGGAACTTTCCCTCGGCCAAGACAAATCATGCTACGCTGTAGTTATATTCCTGATTCATAACTTTACAAGAGAATAAATGTCTCAAATCTCATAGGTGAGAAATGAAAACAGGTATCCTGCGTTTAATATATTTCCCGCAGTCGAGTCGAATGACACTAGAAGCATATTCGCGGCTACACCAGTCTCTTCTTACGACAGACTAACGGACCTTTTTTTTTTTTCGTCCAGCGAGTATTACAACTCAGTATATCACTTGCTTTACCCGAGCTCACTTCCCTGTACCACTGACTGGCGGCTTTTATCACCCACCCCCATATACATGGCTATCTCTAATTCACACCGTGCGGCTTTCTGATTCTGCCTCAATATCGACTGGTGGCTCGAAATTTGACTATTCTTACGGTGACATATGTCTATATGAGCCTACAACGAGAAGTCACTAACTGCCGTCCAAATGGCATATTATCGGGAAAATTTTCATTTACTTATTATTCCACTTGCGGGGGGGGGGGGGCAACCCTGAAGCCATTAATTCTATGTATTCATAAAATCCAGCACATTGAATCATTTAGGGTGCACTTGACTTCGTGTTTGTTTCATTTGCGGCCGCTTTTCATTTCAGTTACGCTGTAGCAGTACAAACAATAGCGATGTTTTTGGAACAATTTGTGCACTATCATGACCCCCCCACAAAAAAATTACCAAATAATTTAAAATTTAACTATTCTTATTTGCGTTTATTCTAGTTCATATTTATCACAGCGCCCAAGTAGGATGTGTATTCTTCGATCATTACGATAGATGGAATATAAAAACTTGCCTCCAAAGAAAGTTGAACATTTCAGAATTTTTGGAAAATGCCAGATATCTATAATATTCCAACAGAAACCACATCACTTGTGGACTACCAACAGCAGCAACAAATAAAATGGATGTAACACATAGAGAAAATAATGACATAATCATGATGTTGATATTCCACACAAATGTAAACACAAAGTTAGGAAGGAAACCACGATCAATATTGGAAAGAGACTTTAGAGGTATTGGACTCTTTAAACCTATTTTATTGAATTGTCTTAAAAGAGAGATTTCATAAATCACGCCCGAAATCAGTACTGGCTGCTCGGTTAATGAATGTTTTCTTGTAGGTAAAACGGCTAATATTACCATCGCTATTATTATTGAGAAACAATTACATGTGGCCGTTATTTTCATCTTGCACGAGATAACAGGCCTGGGCGAAGGAGATCTGAACGTCTCTGCAGTCATCCTCTCCCCAGAGAGAAGAAAAACTCGCGCCAATAAATAAAACTCTTTTCACGCTCACAGATAATCCGTTCAAGTAAGTGTCAGTGCCAGTGTGCGAGTTGAACGAAGAGCTATGTCATTATCAATCTGTCTTGCAATCGCTTCAGCACCTGACACGTGGCGTACTGTGCACCTGTACAGGCGATAATATTTTGATAGAAACAGAGTGCTTTGTGCAGTAGAAACAATTGGATACTATTGGGACACATTAGTGCAGCTTTTTCGGTAAACAAATTTGGCTCAGAAAGAACTTGACTACATTTTATTAAGTGCAAAATCTTTTCACTGATTCTTCATTTGTTATTATCGAAGAAATATATTTTCATATACTTATGAAAAATTTAACAGTTAATAGATTTAATAATAAATATGTGTGAATAAAATATCTGTAAGCAAATAATATAAAGAAATTTTTCACGCTCTAAACACATATATCTTCCTTCTTTCTTTCTCTTTATATTTTTATTCCTTGCTCAGTTTATTCCTATATCAGTCCTTTCTCTGTTATCTATCTATCTATCTATCATTTTTATAATAATCAATTCAAACCAAGCAAAATTAGAGTGCCACTAAACACGATGTGCGGAGTATAGAGTGAAGTTGACTTAAAGATGAATCTAAAAAACAATACTAAATAAAAAACAAGGAAAACTACTTCTATTCAAAAGACCGAGGAGGAGTGTGAACCGGGCGATAGAAAAAGTCTTCCTACTCCTATTCATGAGAAAACAATTAATAAATAAAAGTTCAGACTTCGGGAGTTAGAAATAGACTAAATAAGTAACCGAAAATTCAATTTAAAAGAGGAAACATTTGATAAACTGGAAACTCGGGAGGAGTGTGTTCTATCTATCTATCTATCTATCTATCTATCTCTCTCTCTCGCTCTCTCTCTCTCTCTCTCTCTCTCTCTCTCTCTGTCTATATATATATATCTATATATATATATATAAATTTTCTTATCTATTTTCAGAACATTGAAATGTTATAATGCTTTATTTTTATAAGGATCTATGTATTTTAAAGTAATACAAATCTTGACGGCTTCAAGTGACCGATTTTCTCATCATTCAAGATTTAGAATTTATGGCTTGAATAAACAATCGCCTCCAGTACCCCAATTAAACAAAAAAGTTCAAAATTATACAAAAAGAATAAACGGTGTAAACAAAATTAATGAAACGAGTTACATTATACTACCTACCAACAGTATCACAGCTCAACAAAAAGAGATTAACAATCTAAAACCTGAAGCAAAAATGTACTCAACAGGCTCTAATGATAGCCCAAAGGAATACATAAAAGATACTTCAAGGTAAAAATATTATATGGACACGAAAGAGATATTTTACAAAAGAAAATATTCAATACCTTATCACTCAGCGTAATGAGTCTAATAATCAGTTCGATTAATAAATGATCCTTTAATTAAAAGAGAAATCGATTTATTAACACTAAAATGTATACAGAATGTGTCCTTTATCCACATGGCACAGTGGATAAAGGCGTTGGTTATATCCAGTGACAGGACCCAAAGAGTGTGAGTTCAATACCCGTTTAAGGCAGTGGAGAACTTTCGGAGCGAAATTAACAGGAGATAACTGATAACTGACATCCATAAAACATGGCACGTCGAACTAGAACAGTCTACCCCAGTGAGCGAAATAAAGTGTTCAGTTCGACATTCCAACCACCTGAAGAAGGCCGGAGCGTACAACGGCCGAAACGTTGTGATAAATATGGCGACAAAGATGAGGACAATAGTCCGAATAATGTAAATAATCTGTAGAGAATGTTCTAATTGCTATCATTATGCGCTGGGAATTTGCGTCCAGGTTCTTACAACATTTCACCTTTGATGGAATATTTGCTGTCATATATGGTCTGTACGTCTCGAGGTCTTGGACAAAATCCAGAGACGAATATGCAAGATGATAAGTCCTGACCTGGCATCTAGTCTACAATCGCTATCACACAGACGTGCCGTGGCCTCCCCTGTCTCTTCTGCAAGTATTTTCACGGCAATTGTTCCGACTACTTTCGCTGGTTCCCAGACTGCATGAATTTAAGTGACCCACCCTTTCACTGTCACAGCGGTTAAATGTAACCGTCTCTTCTAGTCAAACAGTGTCTTCTCTCGCACTTCTCGTCTGTGGAACTCCCTTCCACTTACTTGCTTCGCCGATGACTATAATCTTCAAATATTCAAGTATCAATCGACATCTGATACCCTGAGCTTGTTCCCCGTCCTTCTCTGTATCCTTTCCTTAAACATGCCTCTTTACTCATGTCCTCAATCCTCTCTAGCCCTTTGCGTGCTAGTGGCAATCCCGCCTTGCTTGGGGTAAATTGCCTTAAAAACACGAAGGCACATCGAAACCGAATAGGATCGGCTAGCCACTGCGTCTATACACGTCAGATGCCTAAATCCTTTAAGTTAACAATTTTAAAATGAGCACTGGCAGGAGGAAAAGATCATTAGAGGCCTTCCAGTAAATCATACTATGGCTTACATCTTCAAAGTCCATTCAAGATCCATCTCGAGAATGAGGAAGAAGTTTTAAAAAGAGGGGTCAGTAGAGAAGAAGACTGGATTAGGCGGTCATAAAAAAAACAAGGGATCATTATTTCAACTTAGAGCTAAACTGATCAGTTAGAAAAGCCCCAACTCAACCCATAAGACGTTTGGCACATGAGAGAAGAGTTTCAGCTATGACAGTCCAAAGAGCAGTGAAAAAAAGACTTGAAAATGAATCCTTCAAGAGCCTCCGATCCTTAGCTATGATTAATCAATGATGAACAAGTAATTTTCCTTTATTTCATCACGATACATCTGTTAAACTTGGAGAGCAATTATACATTCTTATTGCTCAAAGTAGAGTCCAATATTGTTATAAAAACCTCGGAGGATTCCAGTAAGATATCTTTAATCATTTCTATGGTACAACGGTTTAAAGTTTAACGAACAATTTTGCTTTTACACGATTTGGACAATTTTGCAGTTACACCCGATATAATCATAAATGATTTAGGAATTTGAACTATGCCGATGATCGACGATATACGTTAACATCTATGCCGATGATAAGACGATATACGGGCGTACCTCTAAAACTGTTGACGATCAGAGATTGGCAGCTCACCTCTCTTCCGATTTAACACCAACTTCCCAGTACGGAAAAGAATGCAATACCTCGTTACATTCCATCAGCACTGATCAACTACCACCAGTTACGATGAACAGATGTCCCTCAAGGAGACTCCGAGGGTATAATACTGGGCCTCAAACTCCCACCAGACGTTTATATACAATCCATCGATAAGATGCAGGTAAAATAATCGGCTTCCAGTAGCGCAAATACCTTAATCCTCATTCTATCCTTTACCTTTATAAAAGACATTTCAGGCCTAAAATGGAGTACTATTGCTAAAATAGCGCGGTAGCTGCACAGTCCTCCATTTCCAGTCTTGATAGAATTCAAAAGCGTCTCCAAGTCTTTGTGGGAGAAGTATTATTTCCCCTCCTCTCTTTCACAGGTGCGATGTGGCGAGTCTCTTAGTTCTATCGCTAGTACAATGGAAAGTGCTCGGAAGAACTAGATTCCTTGTTTCGGACAGGAATAACCTTCACACCTAGGTGCTAATATGCTACTTAAACCGTTCACACCCCTCCCTGTATTCCATCAGCGAGAAGTAAGTTCCACTGAAATAGCGTTTTCACGCGAACCACTTCTCTGTGTTGAAATTATTAATATTATTATATTATCTAGTGCCTTATATAATCTAACCCCTTAAGATACCTCTCTACCTCGAGTGGCTCCTGGGCCTTGTATGGTGTGAAATTTTCTGTAAAAAAGAACAATATATGCAAGTTTGTCTTCGAGCGGGATTCGAACGTAAACTAAACGCTTATTTACCGCTTTTTTTTGTTTTAACATTTTTTTATTGATTACACATTGACGTCTTAACCACGAAACCACCTACACACTGTATTTGCTTTTTTTGTTTTTTGTTTTTTGTTTTTTTATTTCAAATCAAATAATAGACAAAGAATGGAAAATCATATGATTGGCGTCGATAGAAATGCTATAATGCTGCACCCGCTACTCTATACAATGAGAGAGCTTTGTTCGTTTTATTGAGCTTCACATTCAAGTTATAAATATTGCTTGCGTAATCTAAACTAAAATCTCGTGCACGCACACAAACAAATGTCAATAATAACGCCAGGTTAGATATTTATTTGGCTCGGCAAATTTTAGCTCAAGGCCACCATTTTGTAGAAGTTTATATACTACCAGTCGACCAAGTCCTGACATGTTTACTTTGTAATTTATAATTGAATAAAACTTGATCTAATTAGAATTTTGAAAGGAAAATTTATGTCGGACTGAATAAAAGAAAAACACTATTTTTTGTATATAACCTCAATTTCTAGAATATAAATATCTTGGATTTAAAATTTATCTGCTTGATTACTTTCTTTTCGTTTTTTTTTCTCGTGGATAAGTTGAATATTTTTCCAAGGACAAAATATTCACTTTTCAGCTTTCACCCTTTCAACCTTCCACATAGCAATGTTAAATAACTAGACTTACGAATGTTTTTATAAAATGAAACTTGTGAGAATTGTTTTCGTAGGAAACAAGAATTGTTTAGTGATCCTGTTTGCTTGAAACAGTAGATGTAGTTGTTGCTTCCAAAAATTGGATGAACTATGAAGTAATAATCGCGAAAAAATTGGTCTCAAGATGGGAGCTGAAATTCCCATTGCTGGAACCGGTATTAAACAGACGAGAACATAGGCTCGTCTCGGTAACAATGATAAAAAACGAGGAGTCTGTGATAGATTTGGGGTTATTTTCCCTTCATGGACCAGTATATGCTGGTACGTGGCCGAGTTGTTAGAACTTTCTCTTTTCTATCCCTAGGCGCTAGTTCGAATCTCACCGTGATCGATTGGTCAGAAAGGTGACTTTTTGATATCGTGCGTAAAGTGTCTCGAATCCATTCCACGTGTTGACCCAAGCCTTGTGACTAAAATTGCGTAGACGGAATCCATCGATGGTTGTGTTAGCACGAAGTCACAAGCCATCGTGACCGGGGGTTTGAGAGTACTGGCCTTGTTCCAAACTGCTGACCACGGCAGATAATGTGCTCTGTCCCAGAAACCGTAATTAAATTTCGCTTAGTACAGTTCCAGTATAAGCCTCAAGTGGTTTCTGTGGGTGTAGAACAAATACAAATATGCTTGAGCAGGCTTCTGCAACTAGGATTGGTTAGCCGCCCGAGTAGACAGGCATCCACTGATACGATCTGTCAACTATTATATTTATCAATTTAATTTTCTCGATTAAAATTTATTCAAAGAATATCTGTAAAACAAAGGCGGTCAAAATGACCGGTAATATATACTGGGCAGAAAATGTAAATGCCTCCATATTATCTAGGCTTTAAATCTCTTTGCAGCAATTTTCGCATGTTACTCATTTCAAACACTAGATTCATTAGTCGGCAATTATTTCAAACAGAATGCAATTTTCTGTTTCATTCTTAAAGAGCACATATAGTATTTTCGCAATTATTTACCTCGCTAAATGCCAGTGTTGTATTTATAATCCATATCTTCGTCTGGTGAAAAATCAAGATAATGAGTTAAGTAGAGTTTCTGCAAGGCATTATGAGACGAGCGGGCTTGTAGAATGTGACACTCACAGGATATATGGAAGACAAGAGAGGCAGAGAGAAAGTTCGAGTCTGCATAATGATCTTGTGTAAATGAATGAAAGAACAGGGATTAGGAAGTACAGAAATGATACAAGCATTGTTTAGTGCTACAAAGATAAATATTTGCGGGGGCCTATCACCATATACGGCAAGAAAAGAAAAAAAAAGAAAGAAAGAAAGAAAGAAGAAAAT